TGAATAGCTAGTTACCTGGTTGTGTTTCTAGTTTAAAGGTTCACAAGCTGAAGGGTTCAGATCTGCACATTCCCTGAAGCGAATGATGGTGATTCAAGTGTGTGAAAGTGACTGATCAAGCGTTGGAGGTGTTGCTGTGTTATTTGCGCCAGCGTGAGACGCAAAAGAAAACTGATATTATGATTAATCTATCTGATGTGATCTGGTATCTGCCACCATCCACAATTAAGACCCAACCCTTGTCCATATCCACCCATCTTTCCCACTTCACCACAACCATAATCAAAACCCTGTTGTGCTAATATATTATTGGTTAATGCTTGGGGAAATCAAATCTTCTTAAACATTGCTTATGCTTCCTTTCCACTCATAAATATTTATAACCATTTAGTTAACTTTTTTATTTCTCAAGTTAAAATTTAAAACTCTTCTTCTTGTGGTCTGACATGAAATAAAAAACAACAATGGAAGAAATAAATTGGTGAATCTTGTATTTACATAAGTAACTCAATTGAATATTTATTTAATAACTCTATTACGTTTATATTTATAAGATAAAATTAAATATAAAAATAATTGGAATAAACTAACAAAATTATTTTACTATATTACAACAAATAGAATATTAAAATAAAAAAGTTAACTTATATAAAAACCTATAAAATTTTTTAGTAAACTGTTTCGAATATCTTTTAAACTGTTTCTAATTAAATAGAATATCCTTTTTTTTTTGTGATAAATTTTTATCGTGTTAATTTCAAAGCGGGAAATCACGAGTTATCTCTGGATTAAAAGACTTGACTAAGATGTTTCTAATTCAATGCTCCCAATATCAAATATTACTACTTTTCTTTTCTGTACATATGCCTATATGTTACCAATTTTTTTGGTAAAGTTATATGTTACCCAATTGAAACTGCACGTACATGTTTAATATTTAAAAAATAAATAAAACTAATCTATGAAACATTCTTTTACTTTATTTAAATAGTAAAATACTATCATGGTTGTTAACTTCAGAAATTTTCCATGTTTGTATATTTAAAGTTCATAAATTTAAATTTTGATACAGTATATCAAATTATTAGATGTTTTATGTAATTTATTCATCAATTTTAAATGTTCTTTATCTTTTATTTATTATTGTAATATATATATATATATATATATATATATACACACATGTATATAATAAAATAAAACATGATATTCAACACTAGTGATATATTTTAATTTTTTTCCTCTTTGTACATTTTAAATTTATGTTTTAAAATTGATCTTAAAATTTAAAAGAATCTACATGATAAAGCTCACCAATTTGATATGGAACCTTAGTCAATGAATCTCTTTCTTGCTTCAATGTCGACATAATTAGAATCACACTGTTTATGTGAATGAGCAATTGAACATATTGGAAATTCGATGTGTTGCAAATAGTTTAAAAGTTAGTTAGTTCATAATTATATTTCTGTTCGTCTGTTAGGACAATTATTACCACTTCACACTTGAATATATTCTACTGATCATTCAGTGGAAAATCATCACTTTCATTTCCCATAAATGTTACTTCATAATATGGTAATAGACATACACGGAGTTAATGAATACATAAGCCTATAAACAAGAGCGATTCAAATATACACTGTTAAATTAATCATAATTGCCATGTAGTAGTAACATATAGCTATAATATATTTTTCGTATACTTTGCATATATTATTAAATTAAAATAGATTTTTTTGAAATGCTCGTTAGGCTTTTCATGTGAAAACACAGCCAATGTGTAATTAGACTTTAATTGTTTGAAAATTTTAATTAGTTACTGAATATAATTATTTTTTTAAATTGCTTGGTTCATCGACTTAATTAATTAGTGAAAAAATTGAACGGATTGTCATTTTTAATTAAAAAAATGCATATACCCATAAAAAACATATATTTCCTCTTGGTTCATTAACTTAATTAGTAAATATTACATATATCTCTTGATTAAAAAAAAAAAACATATATTTCCTCTTTTCTTCAAAAAAAAAAAAAACCTCACTCACAAACATATTATTTAGTCCATCCTCATAACCATGACATGGATTTTATATCCAGAGCATTTAACCCAAATAATTTTTTGCCAAAGGGGTTTTCTCTCTCAATAAATTTATAGAATGTACCAAAAAAGTAATGCAATTCACAAGTAACATAATTAGTAATCATAATTACTTTAACTTTTTCAATTTTTTTTAAAAAAACAAAAGCAAGCCAGTGGCCTTAAAAGTGACATTCTAAACTATGTTTTCTAGTAAGCTGTCGCTACTCACAAATCCCTTCAATCCCATGTATGTATATATAATTGCCAAACAATTGTAAAACTTTCTATATTCATATCCTCTTTCTTTTAGTGTTGAGCATAATTAGGTCATAAGGACCCTACCCCAACTAAAGGAGAATTATCATCTCGTAAAGTCTTGGTTATCATTCCTCATGCTTGCCATTACAAGTTATCGCGTTTATTTTTCTTTTTTTCTAACTGGGCAATTATATTAATTGACATTTATGTTTTGACAGTTGATAGTTTATGTTGTTCAAGCGAGCCCTATAGCATGAATTATTGTCGTGAGGAGGACATCATTGTATAGGAGAAAGCCCTTTCTTTCTATATCTAATGGCGTGTACAAATTACGCCATTAAAATGGTCGAGCAATAAGAACAATAAACTTATTTTTAAAAAATAAATAAAATGCCCGAACCTGAAAGTGTAGGGAGTATATGAAAGAGAAGCAATAAAATGATAAACTTTCAAAGTCCCCTAGTACATGTTAATGTACATATGTTAAATATTAAATGTGTATTAAGTTTATTTATTTATTTTTCATCTAAATAAGTAAACAGAATTTTCTCACTTCTTTCTCTCTTGTTTTTCATCAAAATTTTCTCATGATTTTTTATCTATTTATTTATTTATGTTTTACTCATTTTCTATTTCATTCAAACATAGTATTAGAGTTGAGTTGAAGCATTTAGAAATAGTCGGTTTTTATTAGAAAAAAATATTTATTATATTAAATTTATAAAAGTGTAATAAGTATTTTTTAAAATAAAAAATTTAATTATTAATCACTTGAATTCAACTCTAAATATTAAGGTTAACATATTTATTATTAATTTTTAATCTTAAATCATCTGTATAACTATAAAAATTATTTTATTATTATTATTCTCTACTCTTTAGTCTGGGAGTATCTATTAAATATTAAATTAATAAATATAATTTATTAAATTATTTTTTAAAATTATAAATAAATAAATTTTAAATTTAACTCATTTAAATAGATAAACGTTTTTTAAATTAAACTTAATCTTAAAAAACTCAATTTGTTTACCCTCCTAGTCTCAGCAGTAATATCCACAGAAAACACTCCTTTATAATTTTAATAAAAAGATCCATCCAAGCCTGTGCTCGTTTCTATTTTTTTTTTTGTGTCATGCCAAGCCTGTGTTGAATTGCTCGTTAATGAGCAAAATGAATCGAGCTTTTGGACCGGGCTTGTTCTGCATAAATGAAAGGGTATCTCTGGTAATCTGACCCAAGGAACCAAGCCCAATGCAGGTTTTTTTTCATAAAAGACGTGTTTTTTATTTCTAGTCCAATACCTTATGTGTCCTACATTAGTTTAGTTAAAATGCTATTTGTTGAAAAAAAAAAGTTAAAATAATATTTAAAATTTTAATATAATATAATATTTTATCTAATTTAATTGGTAGATCATTTATATATGTTTAATTTTATAAATCTTAACATCGTAAAAAAATGGTGTTGACATATTTTACATCGATTAAAAATATAATTTTAATGTTTTTATAAAATTTGATTAATATTTTTTGTATAACTTAGTTTTAAGAGTAGTTAAATTGTATTCTTTAAATATAATATATTTTTATTTTTTAATTAAGTAGCAACATTATATTTTTCATTAAAACAGCATCTATTAATTTTTATTATAGCGCATAATACTGAACTTTGATCTTCATCTCAACGTGAATAACTTTTAGTTGTTAATAGCTTTGTATTTTTTTTCTTTACTAAAAAATTATTGGATGGGGATATTTTATAGAAAATTAAAATTATGAGTATCGAAGACCTGAATGGAAATAAGACAAATGTATTTTATGAGTTATTATGGAATTTCAGTGTATCTTGACTATATTACGCTTAAAATATTTTTTTGGAGAATATATATTGTAAAAAAGGACAAAAAAATAGACATAATAAGCAATATAATAAAACAAGAAAGATAAAAATAATATAATATAAATAAAATGTAAAATTAAAGTATCAAATATTTAAATTTACCACCCATATCATAAAGATTTTATTTACGTGTATCGTTAAGGTACAGGGCAATGATTCAAAATATTGTTTAATGCTTTTTCTTAAATAATTTAACATTTTTTAATTTTTAATATTATATATTCATATTTTATTTGATACTTTGAAACCAATGCCTTAAACGATGTATACATTAACAAAAACACTGCACTCAATAATACACGTCTCACAGTGCAGATTTAGTTTGAAATTTAATTCAAAATTTTAACTAAATCTTTAACTAAATCTCAACTATTGAAGTTATTACTAATGGAAATAGTTGAAAAGTATTTTATTTTCACATTTAACAAAGAACAAATACTTCATAATATCTTTTGATCGATTTTAAAAAATTAGAGTAAATGTATGTTAGATAGGTAACTTAATTAAGTATTTACTTTATAAAATTTAATTGCATAAAAAATAATAAAAAATGCACTTTGGACTGTTAATGACGAAACTCTCTTGCTTGTTTTTTTAAAGAAATTAAACACTATATTACACACACCAAAATTTTCCGAAATTGGAAACACATAATAAAATCTCCATATTATTATATTCTAAAAATAAATAAATCGAGGATTATTGAGAAAGAAAATGGGAACTTATTACGGAGTCGGATCGGGCAGCGAATAGTAGAGAAAGCATCCATCAAGTGCCTTCGTTCTTTCTGTTCCAATGCGCTGAAACAAAATCGCTCCATTCTCGTCTGAACCCCAAAAACCTCCGTTCTTCCCTTCGCAGAACTCACTCCCTGTCATCTGAATCTCAATCTCACGCACACCACACTCCCTAACTCGTCTGTTCTTTATCCATGGAAAGAAGCGCCCAACGATTCCCTATTCCAATCTCTTAATTATCGTCCACCAGGTTCCACATCCTTTACCTTTCGTTTTCATTTTTTTAGATTGGACCTTTCGAGTTCTCCTCGTTTTCTACTGATGCAATTTGAATTCGTCGATTATTTTTTAAATTAGTTTATTGAATCCTGATTGGTTTCGATGTTCGACGTGTTTGTTTCCGATTGTGATGTTCGATTCCAACAGCGATTCACCGGTCGTTTTGAAAATTATAAAATATTAAAAAATCGAGGAAATGAAATGGAAAACAGACTTAGATAGTTATTGCTACCGTTTTTTTTTTTTTTTGTTTGGTTACGGAGAATAACACGATTACGTTGTAGCCTCATGCCGAGTTAGTTTCATGTGTTGCGAGCCTTGTTAGATCACTACGTTGATCTTTTGAATGTTGAAGTTAACGATGAAAAATGTTTGGAAATTGTAATTTGAATAACTCTAGTTGTTAGGTATTAGTTATTATTTCTACTGTATTTTTTTAACTGCTGTTTTATTTATTTGTTTTATTTTTTGCTGAATTTGCGTTTGGTTGAATCAGGAGTAGAATGGATTTTCCCTTGGGTAGTGAGGATCCAGCTATACTTCAGCTGCACAAATGGGACCCTTCCGAGACCCAAATCGGGCTTTCGGACTTTCGCGTAGCCTTTCTTTCTCCTACGAGAGAGATACTGCTTTTGCATTCTTATGAACGGGAAGCTCTTTTACTTCCTCTGATTAAAGGTGAATTCTGCTTATTCATAATTGTAGTTTGGCTGTTGCTATACAGTAGTTGAATATCATGGCCTGTTCTATTTTACATGTGCAAATGCAGTTGTCTGTGTTTCAGATTAGTTGATTACCTGTTCTTGTTTGTGCGTTTGTTTTTTATTTGCAGGAGATTCACATTTTAGTGGTCCTAAAAGTGGATGTGATTATGATGATCACAATCTAGGTTCATCAACTATTTTCTCGGAGGCATTAGCTAGACCTAGTAGATCAGTTTTGGTGAATGATTCACCTTGCACTTCAGGATCAGGTATTGATATTGATACTGATGTTGCTAAAATTAAATGTTCAAGATCCAATACTCATCCATACATTAGTGACGTGAACTCATTGGCATGGGCTCGTTTTGAGGACAACTATGATCAGCACAATGACGCTTCATTTAGAGAACTTCTATTTGTTTCTGGAAGATGTGGGGTAACAGTTCATGCTTTTCCTAAACTGACTAAAACCAGGGGAATGGTTCAAGCTGTATTAGAGGGTAACTCTAGGAAAGGCAGGTGGGTGGAGTGGGGGCCCCTTGCTTCATTAGATCAAAATATGTTAGACGGAGAATCTTCCAGCTTTAGGCAAAGGGTCTCTGGAGGCCAGAATGTAAATTTGACTGGGGGAGATGGTGGAGTTGAATTGTTAAGTAGCTCTGCTACTAAGGGATACTTAGAGTCATTTTTCACAAAAGTTGAAACTGTCATATCTGATGGTTTTCTTTGGACCAAATTCCCTGAGAATAATGAATTTCCTTGCTTGACAGAAGTGGTTTCTTTTAAAATATTTGATGGCAGTCTATCCTTGGACCATCTCCTCAAAGAAAAATCAGTCCAGAGTAAGGAGAATTGGCAGGAACCAGCTGATTCAGTAAAAGATGCTAGCTTGAGCTTTTGTATAGAAGATAATAAGGTTGATTGTTTTTCCAGTGTATTTGGTATTGTGATTAATGGGATCTATGAATGCAACAGAGTGTTCTCAAGTGCTTCATATTATTTGGTAGGGTTTTTTTTGACATTAATGCATCATGTATCTATCAATATTAATGATGCAAATCAAAGAGGCAGGAGTAGGAATTTACTTCTTGTTGCCAAGGTAGACAGTTGGGGTATTCAGTGGGTTTCAATGGTGAAGCTTGATGAAGGGATAAACATAGTTCAGGCGGTTGAGTGGGTGGATTTCCAATTTTCTGATCATCTTCTTGTCTGTCTTAGTTCTTCTGGCTTGATTGTTCTCTATTCTGCCTTGTCTGGTGAATATGTGACACATTTAAATGTATTACAGGCTTGTGGACTTAACCCCCAATTAGATTTGCAAAGGTTAGAAAAGTTGCAGTTGAGTAATGATGTATACATTAAACAAGAGCATGGCATTACTGAGAACATGCCTGATCAGAACAGTGATGCTTTTAGGAGATCATTCAAAAGGTTAGTAGTTGCTTCACATACCTCCCTTTTAGCTGTGGTTGATGAATGTGGCGTGATCTATGTGATATCTTTGGGTGAATATATTCTTGAGAGGAACTGCTCATCTGAGATGTTGCTTCCATATCGTCAGCAATTTGGGCTGGGGGTGATGGTTGGTTGGGGTGTTGGTGGTTCTGATATAGATCGCCAAGCAGTGTATTCTAATTTATCTGGATATTTTCAATCAAATGTTTTGAACATAAAAAATGGTAGTGTTGCTTCCCCAGACAGAGCTGCGGCAGGTAATACTATTCAGAAAATTAATGGCTGCACAGTTAAAGAAAAAGGGGATTTGTGTGGCTCCTATTCAAGTGGTTTTTCTGCTACTTCTAAAGTAACTAATGGTCACAAATTTCTTGGTTCTGTTGTGAAATTTCCTGTTATGAGAAAAATATTCCTTCCCAATTTTAGAGTCTGTGAGGATGATTCTATATGTTTTTCTCCTTTGGGAATTACTATTTTCTCTAGAAAGAAGAATGTAAAGAATCAGAATGGTTCTCAACTTGTCCATTTTAATCTGCAAATGAAGTTAGATGTCCGTGATGACAACTTCTTAGACAGTGTATATGATGCATACCACTTTGATGGAAAAGAAGAATCTGTTATTGGAGAAGCAATTGGTTGCACATTCCAAGGTTGTTTTTATATTGTAAGAGAAGGTGGTTTATCAGTGTATGCTCCCTCCATTTCAGTTTTATCAAATTTTCTTCCAGTTGAGTACATTGGTTATCGCCAATCAAGCAAGGATATAGGGATTTCGGTTCTACTTAAAGACAATCTGGAAATAAGAGAATCAACCAAAAGGTTTTCTCCTTGGAAAGTTGAAATTTTGGATAGAGTTCTTCTGTATGAAGGCACTGAAGAAGCAGATCTTTTGTGTTTGAAAAATGGTAAACTATCATACCTTAATCTTCTCCTTAATTGTCTTCATGTCTTGGGATAGACTTGTTCATTTATTTTATTCATGTGTTTTTGCACATGGTTTATTTAGTGGTGTTTGTTCCTGTAGAAGGTATTCATTGTGGCCAGTGGCAACTTTGATTTTAACAAAATAGGAAGATTTGTCAGGAAAAGACGTAGTTTCAGAGAATATAGATACAAAAATAAAATACAGCAAAAACTATAAATCTCGACAGTAAGTCTTTCTTTCGACTTCAATTTGATTGGGAAACTCTCAAGCATGTGTGGGGAACCAACATGTTCCTCCCCTCTGGCTCTTTATGATTTTAATTAGCAGTCATGCACTAGGAATTGAAGAGTTATATTGTTTGAGTAATGCTATGTCCTCCTAACAAATCCTCCTAACTACTTAAAACAGAAAGTATTAAATGAAATAACTGAAGCATTTGATGTCTTGGGAAACCAAAAAATATTAAATGCTTCTTCTTTGATTAATTTGGATGATTTTGAGTCTGGTTCATCAGGAATATGCAGAATCTTTCTTTTTTTTTTTTTTGCAATTTTTTCCAACTTTCTTTAATGCAAATATCTTAATTTATATTTCTCCTATTTGATGTAATTGTTTTTTTTTTTGTATGATGGACTCTTATTCTGTTTCATTTCACTAATTGCTTCACTTTGATGAAATATTGCCTTTCATAAAATATCTTTTTAGGAAATACAAATGTTCTATTCCAACTTCTGTATGTAAATACTTTTTTGTTTTCTGGATGATCATCAGTGTATTGCCACCCATTTTTTGTTGTCAGAGGTTTCTTCCATCAACCTCGCAACCTTGATAGTTTGGTTTCTTAGGAGTTTTAGAGCTAGCCAGCTAGGTGAATTAGGGTGTGATTACTGGCACACGATACTTTAAAATTTATTGAAACAATTTTAAGTGCATGCTTATTTATTTATTTTTTCTTTGTCAGGATGGGACATCAAAGTTTCGCGTATTCGTCAATTACAAATAGCACTGGACTACTTGAAATTTGATGAAATAGAAAGGTAAGCCAAAATTTACTCATTATTGGCTTGATTTATACTTCATGTGTATTGAAGTCTCAATGTTGTGCCATAGTCTGTGGCCATGCTGTTTATATTCATTTGATGACTACAGGTCAACACTCTTGTGTTGTGAATATGAATTTGGAAATGACATTTATTTCTCACTTGGATTGTTTCTCTTCTTCCCCTTCAACTTTGAGGAGCTTTGGAAGCTAGGTTTCTTGATTGTGTGATGATAATTACAGACTGGATAAATAAAATCTTTTGATGGCTTGTAGCTTGGCTTCTTTTGGCCTCTACTTTTTGTTCTTCATTTTGGTTGGTAGCTGGTGGCCAGCAAGAAGTATCACTTTCTGTTTAGAATATAAAAACTGAACAATTCTTTGATTTTTTATCTGTTCAACCTGAGTAGGAAATTCAATTCAGAGAATGCAACAATGGGGTGAGAAAAAGGTTGTGAGAGATGTGGCTCAATTCAGCTGAACTGATAGGTTTACATGAACATTCAGTTCAGTGCAGGTTCTTGTTTATTTCTTACTCAGCAGTTTGTATGATGGACCACACTTGAGACTTGAGACTTGAGACTTGAGAGGTGATTGGTTCATAGTTCAACTGGTCTGCCCTCTTTGATTTCCTTGATCAACGATAATTAACTTAAAATCTACAAAAATAATGAAATAAAACTAAAATGTTCACTAGAAAGGTTATATTTAAATAATAAAAGTAATATTAATAAAATGTTCACTAAAATGTCCATTGATGGGAAGAAAAATCACTATTGGTATAATCTTGTTTATACCCAAACTGATTATTAGCAGGTTAAGATGTAACTACATTATTATTGTTCTCCTCCTCAGTGCCATGCTGACATTGTTGAAGAGCTAAACAGTAACCAAAAAAATGACAAACCCGTAATAACTATCACAAATAATGCTAAGGAACAACCCATTTACATGAGGGATTAATTCAAATCTGACCAACAAACACAAGAAGACAGCCTAAGGGAGTCTAGCAGTCATGGGAAGGTGGAGGACAGAAGTGATAGTGGCTGGCCCTGATCAGATCTTATCAACAAACAGAAGAAGACAGCCTAAGGCAGTCTAGTAGTCATGGGAAGGTGGGGGACAGAAGTGACAGTAGCTGGCCTTGATCAGAGATGGTGTGACAATGCAAACAATGGTGGAAGTGGGAGGAATAGGGGCAGGCATGGAAAGGCTGACTGGACAGATTCTGGTAATTGGTTGGACTAGGTGAGGCCATATCTGGAAAGAGGGAGACAATGGGTTAGACAAAGGCAAAAATGACTGTCATTGTTGCTCCTTGCCAGACAAGCTGTCACTCACTAGTAGAAGGTTATGGACATTAGGAGCTTGAGGCAATGCTTGGTGTGACACCTTTAATTTCTTATTTAGTTTACATAATAATTTATGACGAGATAGAGGAAGTAAATGAGTTTGTTATATATGTAGTACGAAAAATGTAATAAAATTTAAAACTTTTTACGCTTGATTCAATTTACAAGAATATCCATGGTTATTCGAAAACACAAAAGATAAATCAGACTTTAATGAATAAATTAACATTAAAGAATAAGGAAATATACGTAACCTGTATTTCATTTATATGTATAAGTTTAATAATTACAGACCATTATCAAGGTACACTAGGACTTAGTTTACATATGTACAATGTCAAAATAATCTAAGTCTCAAGAGTTGTTAGTATACATACTAAAACACTGAGGATACAATCCTAGTTGTTATTTCCAAACCAATCCACTATCTCCGTCATCCCCCTCTTGTGTTAGATCTTCATCAGCACAAAGATCTCTAGTACCAACAACGACCTCATTGACTGTCACTAGCTCTCGGGTAAGTAAAATTACCTGATCTTTCCTTTGGTTGTGATCATAGAAAGTATATACGTAGTTCACCACATCTAGCGTTTGAGCTATACCTCTGTATATGTACAAGCGAGTGTGTGGTAGATTCTACCACTAGTAGGATAATCAAAAGGTATAATATACTCTATTGTCATCTCTAACGTGAAAATGTTATCAGGTTCATTACCATTATTTATAACAAATTTACAGCGATAGAAAAGTTGCCACTTTCTATATACATAATTTAGCCTACTATTTACAAACCATTCTAACAACTTAGGTCTCTGCGGATCTGCTACCCTTGTCCTTTGAAAGCATTTGTAAGAATGAGTTCTTTCCTCATTACTAAAATATAATTAATTGCATTTTATACAGTATCAAATATAATAACAAACACATCAAATATCACCATACATATGTTCCATTATATAATCAATACATTTTTCTCTTTCGTTTTAGTACTTTTTTGTATACTGTGATCACAGTTATTAATTGCCTCCAGTATTTTATAAGTTATTACACAGATAGGTGAATAGTTATTGATTAATCAGTGCACATGAATACAACATATACAATTTATGACTCTTTAATAAAGGTATAGTCAGGAGTGTTAATCAAAATGAGTGTGAGACCATATGATGCATTCGCATAGATTGTATATACACAAGCGAATATCATTCACTAACTTATATTTCTTTTAGATTTTCACACTTGGCTCTTTATTCTATGTTTCGAGTATATTTTTGTAACTATTTACACTAATTTTTTTACTTTTTTTTTTAACACAATGTTTTTCCTTTTCAACTTGTTCTCATCAATTAGTTACATGAACCACAGTTAAGCATTTTTAGGATTAAGTCCATACCACATACACTAAAAAGAGTATATTGAAATCACTTCAAATCAACCAAACATGCATCATCAACTTTTTACAACAATCAAAGTTGCATTCAAACACATTGACAAGAAACATACAATAACATTCTCATGAATATATAATATTTGTTATGTTTTATTGATGCAATGAAGCTCTCATTACCTTGAAGTAAAGACTAAGTTCTTCTTAAATATGACAAAATAAAGTACTTTTAAAAAGAGAAAAAACAGAAATAAAAATGAAAGTTGAAGAACCAAGCTCCAAGAAACTTAATTGGAGATGATCGAAACGAATGTTTTGAGTTCAGATTCAAAAGAAACTCAGGATCCAAGGAAGGTTTCTTTGAGAAGGGAAAGGTGAGAAAACAGAGAGAATACGAGAAAGGTGACTTAGATTGTAATGCAAGTTTTCATAATAGAATTTCCTTAAATATCTCTCAAATTCATGCATACTCGTTTGAGCTAGCGGACTCTTGCTTAAGCGAGGTCATCTCTTACTTGAGCAAAAACATCATACAATGATTTTTCAAGTTTTTTTTATATTCTTGTCGGAGCGAGGGACATTCTCGCTTGAGTTAGAATGGGTCTAGAGAACTCCTCATTCACCCTATCCTTTCTTGCCTGAGTGAGGGGATAGTTGGATGACATTATCCTTTTTTACTTGAGCGAAATTCATTTCACTTGAGCGAAAATGATCTGGAATGCCTAGTCCAGAAAATTTAGTCTTGTTGGAGCGAGACATATCTCAACTGAGAGCGAGACCCTCTGCAGCCAACAACACTCAAAGACTTCCTTTTTAAAAATAAAATCCAATAATAAATAATACAATAAAGCAATTAAGAAAAAGAGGGTGTTACAGTTGGAGGCTTTGATGGGGGCATGGATTCAGGAAGCTCGCTAATCTTGACACTTTGAAGCTGATGACTAATAATGATGGAGAGTATTTACATTAAGAGAGATTGTAAAAAAAAATCACTGAGGATGCTGCTGCATTGATACATGATGAAATAGTATAGATTTAAGTAGGAAAGGAGGAAAAGAGAGAATAAAGACATTAAATATTAGCTAGATTGTTATTTAAGTCTAAACTATCATTAGGATACGAGAAGTCTGGTTGACAATAATATCCTGAAGGATGGTATCGTGCATTTTTCCAAAAAAGTGAATGTTTACTTGACTAATAAAAACTTATTTCATTGTTCCTTGTTCATGTAAATTAAGTATTAACCTTTCCTCTTCCTTTAGTATTTAATTTTCATCCAGGTTCTCAGAGACTTATGAATGATGCAATTTTGCTTAATTTCTCAGCATGACTTTCCTACCAGTTGAAACATGTAGAAGTGGGAAAAAGCAATAATGCTAGGAATAGGAATTTTTGAGTTTGGTATTAGTTCAAGTCTTAGTTAGTGCTCCTTGGTCCTTCTCAAAAAATATTTTGCTTTTTAAATTCAAACTATATGATATAGTTTTCAGATTGCCACATTACATTGTCGTGTGTATTATATTGATTCAAAGGAGTGAAGTTAGTTGTACAGGAGATGTATAACATTGATGTGTTTGTGTAGTATTTAGGTTTACTTTAGCAAATATTATCTAATGAAATTCACTTTCCAGTTTTATTGATGAACAGATCTTTGGAAATGCTTGTGGATGTGGATCTTGCAGAAGAGGGGATCTTGAGATTACTTTTTGCTGCAGTGTATCTTATACTTAATAAAAGTGGTAATGATAGTGAAACTTCTGCTGCTTTAAGGTAAATTTGTTTGTTCATTGGCTCACTTGCCAATTTTTTTTTGTTCTTTATCATTTTAAAACCAATTTGCTTCTTGCTTGACACATGTCCTCCATGTAAAATATATGGAGTGAATGCATATTTTGGTCCTCCAAAGATGTTTGTGAGACATCGTCCTGGCTATATAGCTTATGGCAAGTTTCTCTAGGATAGCTTTATAAATTCATTCCACTATAAATTCATTTTAGGGAAATTGAAAAAAAAAAAAAAGAACTGTTGGTATAAGTATTTCTAGTTTGGGAACAACTGGAATTTTCTCATGGCTAGGTTTTTTAGGGTAGCTACACTGGAAGAGGAAACTAAATTAGGTGCTTCAAATGGCCATAGGTCTGGCGACAGATTAACCAGACTCTCTTTCTTGTATGAACTTATGGTTCTAACTATACTGAGTGGGACCTGTATAAAGTTACCATTAGCTACTTATGTAATTCCTTTTTATTATAAAACAATAAACCAGGTAAAATACTAAAAGACCAATCAGACCATGATAGGCATTTATTTATCCTTCTTGAACACTGGAGATTTCTTTCAAAATTTTATCAACGTGCATACATTTTTAGGAATGTCTGACTGTTTTTAAATTTATTTCAATTATTTGACTAATTCACTTCTAAACGACATAAGTTTGTTGTTGTACCTGGTAAATTTACTTCTAACACATCCCATTTTCAAAAGCTAGAAAATTTCAGGATTATGATCTATGCGCTTTTAGATAACATGAATGAGTTGGCAATATCATAGGCTCTATCAATTTTTCTATTTTTGGTCACTGCTTGGGCTGTCAATATTCTGTTTGATTTGTTGTGCCTTTTCTTTAAGTCAGTGACACTACATTCTTGAGTAAAGAATATAATTTTGAAAAATGCATTGGATGGTTTGCATAGTTTGTTTTAATTCTGACTTATGATATTATGTTGTTGTTGTCAACATATTTAGGCTTCTTGCACTGGCTACTTGCTTTGCAACAAAGATGCTTCTTAAATATGGGTTGCTACAACATAAAGTAGATACACATGTAGCAGAGGACTTTAATAGGACAGGATTACTCTCTCTTCCTCCTATTGAACCAGTTAAACTACAAACTGAAGTGGATTTTGCTCAAAAACTTTGTGAGATGGCTCGTTTCTTGGAGATCATTCGAAATCTGCAATTCAGGCATATGTCAATATTTCAAAGGGTCAGTCAAGGATTGGTATGGTGCTTCATGGTTATGCTACTCAGATAAATGCTTAATTTGGTTGCTGTTTTTTCCAGAAAATTAAATGGTATCTTCTTGTTAAATTACAGGCTGACAGTGGAGAGGAGTCATCATTAGTAAGTACAGAACTTATGCAGGAAGAATCCCAACTTTCAATTCTTCCATCAGATTTGGAGTCATTGGATGTTTCCAACCAACGTGAGCTTTCTTTTCCTCTACCAGCATCGGCCAGCAACAATAATGAAAATCTAGTGCTGGTGCCTGTTGATTCTGAGTCTCATTTGGTCTCAGATGAATTTGGCAATGTATCTCATTTAACCTCATTAGGAGGAGTTTTAGGAAAGAAAGTTTTTCCTGTGGAAAATCCACGAGAGATGATGGCACGCTGGAAGGTAGATAATCTGGACCTTAAGACTGTGGTTAAAGATGCTCTACTCTCTGGTCGTCTCCCTTTGGCAGTTCTGCAACTGCATCTTCATCAATCAAAAGATTTTGTTACTGACAAAGAGCCTCATGATACTTTTACTGAAGTTCGTGACATTGGCAGAGCTGTTGCTTATGACTTATTTTTGAAGGTAATGTATGTAACATTCTCATTAGCTGTTCCAAATTACTATGAAATGAAAATAACAAAGGAATTTAATAATTAAACAGGGTGAAATTGAACTTGCTGTTGCTACACTTCAAAGACTTGGGGAGAACATTGAATCCTGTCTTAAACAACTTCTGTTTGGCACTGTAAGGAGATCTCTGCGAGCCCAAATTGCGGAGGAAATGAAAAGATATGGTTATCTAGGACCATATGAATGGAAGATATTGGATGATATGTATCTGATTGAGGTATGTAGAATTTATTTGTCTTATTTTGTGGTCAACATAACTACTGAGGAGAAATTTCCATGAGCTGAGCCTTGTGATCTCATTTGTTTCTGTGCATGGGTATGAAGAGCCTCTATCCTAGCAGTAGCTTCTGGAAAACTTATCATCACCGACTGAAAGATACTGGCATTCCACTGGACTCTTTACCAGTAGAAAATAGATTAAGACTCTTGCCTAACCATTCATTTGATAGTCTTGTCATTGAATGTGGTGAGATTGATGGAATTGTCTTTGACACATGGATGGATATTAATGAAAGTTCCTCTGCTCTGAGCGTTGATGAGGAAGATGCACATGTTGGATATTGGGCTGCTGCTGCTGTCTGGTTTGATGCCTGGGAGCAAAGAACTGTTGATCGTGTAAGTTGGTTCTCTGTTTTGTGTCTGTGCATTTCTATATTGATTTTCGTTTTGTCTCTGATGATGCCAATGATGATTGGCACCTATCATCACCTTTAGAACTCTCTGGATGGTATAATATGATTTTGTTGTCATTCAATAAATGAAACAAAGACTGAAGGAGAAGATTTCAGTAAGAATTCTGGAAAATTGGATTTCTTACCAGTGCAGCACTTTTATTGGATCGGGTTGGAAGCAAAAGTGGTTATGCTTTCGTAGAGACCTGCATTTGGCATGCATGTGTCTATTTGTTTCTTGAGGTGTAAATACCCAACTTCTACTTGCACCTTTATTAGATCTCTTTCAAGATGGATTTGGTTGTTTTGGTTTGAACTTCAAATCAAAGATTTCTATACCTTTGAATTAAAATTTTAGCTGTGACAAAAATTTGCTCCCCCCTATTAATGTATTTAAGCATGGCATTGCTTTTAGTCAATAATTCCATGTTGATACCTCTGTAAGGACAAACAGCTTTCTCTATAGTAACTTCATTTTTCATTATTTGTTCATCTTTGTGTGTACAGATGATACTGAATCAATCTTTTCATTCAAACATTTCGTTATTGTGGGAGTCACAACTTGAATACCATGTTTGTCGCAATCATTGGAAGGAAGTTTATAGACTGCTGGACTTGATGCCTGCATATGTCCTATCTGCTGGAAGCCTTCAACTCAATTTGGATGTTTTACAGCCTGTTTCATCCTTAGGATGCAATCTGAATATGAAGTCTTCTAAATATGGGAGTTTCTTGTACTCTCTTGAAGAATTGGATTCTGTATGCATGGAAGTTCCAGATATCCAAATATATAGGTTTTCATCTGACATATGTTCTGGGTGGATGAGGATGCTTATAGAGGAAAAACTTGCAAAAAGATTTATATTTTTGAAGGAATATTGGGAAGGGACATTAGAGGTGATAACTCTTCTGGCTCGTTCAGGTTTCGTTTCTGGCCAAGATAAGATTTGCTTGGAGGATGATCTTCCTGAGGCTTCATCCGTTGGAGATGGGACTGTACAAGCTTTGCATAAAATATTTGTACATCACTGTGCACAATATAACTTGCCAAATCTTTTGGACCTGTACCTTGATCATCATAGTTTGGTCCTCGATAATGATTCACATTATGCATTACAGGAAACTGCAGTAAGTTTCTTTGTGGCATTTGTTTGTCATTTTCTGTGTTTGATCTTATTCTGATTGATTTTTTATTATTTCAAATCATGATGCTCATATACTTCCATAAGCTGTTGATGCACTGAAATTTGTAGGTTATGTAGTTTCAAACTTTATTCTATGCTATTATTATGCAAGTTTAGTGACTAATTCAGCTAACCCCTTTCTTTCTTTTTTTCAATAAAAGAAAAAAAATTAAGACCAATTGAAAAATATAGAAGGGATATGGAGAATAGGGGATCCTCCATAGGGAAAAGGGAAATAAAATAAGAGAGAAAAAGCATCAATAGAGCAAAGCTGCTCAATCCCTGTGAATATCTGTTAAGAATACCTTTAAATTACTTTACTTTACACACCAAACAGAAGCCAATCATGTAATTTTATCCCAAATCTGCTGGTGAATCAATCAATAGTGTCATGAAAAATGCAGGTGTTGCACTTCAATCAAACGTGCAAGATAATCAACAAAAATAGGTTGAAAAACATTTTCCATGTTATGCCTACCCAAAAACCACTAATGCTAGTTGACAAAATTTAGTTCTAGAACATTTCTCTGATCAAGCCTTCACCAAAAAAGCTGAACAATATTCTGTAAACAGAGTAACATACAGCAGCTGAACAATGTAAGAACAAATGAGGAAGAACTAGCACTATACATCTCATAACACAATTATTGGGGATAAGAATCTTATGTGTTTTCCAAACTTAAAAATGATATTACCATTAACTCTATTAAGCACCCTAGTCCAAACAATCGACCTCAGAAGGAATTCAGGTAAATTTTATCTCTTTATGTTAACACTGCAGACTGGCATGTTTATAGTTAAGCCAAATGATTTTCTGATTTATTTACTAATTTTTGTCACTCTTAAGAGCCTTTAATGTTGTGGAGGTTTGTCAATATTCCTTATTTCCCATTCATTGTTTTGTTCAACCTCCAGTCATCAAGTGCTTGTTTGTTAAGTTAACATGGATTTCTTTGCTTTAAAGAGGATTTAGTGTTGCTTGTTGATACATTGCATCTCAACAGGTCGATTGTGAATGGGCAAGATGGCTACTCTTATCTAGAGTTAAGGGGTGTGAATATGAGGCCTCACTTGCCAATGCTCGTTTCAGAATGTCTCGTAATGTAGTTTCTAGAAGTGACCTGAGTGTTATGGAGTTAGATGAAATAATTCGAACTGTTGATGACATTGCTGAAGGAGGGGAAGAAATGGCAGCTCTGGCAACCCTGATGCATGCTGCTGTCCCGATTCAAAATTGTTTAAATAGCGGTGGTGTAAATAGGCATAGTAATTCTTCTGCACAGTGCACATTGGAGAACCTTAGGCCAACTTTGCAAAAGTTCCCCACATTGTGGCGCACACTTGTAGGAGCATGTCTTGGACAAGATACAATGAGCTTGGTGGTCCCTAAAGCAAAAACTGGTTAGCTATTAACCTCATTTGTTGGGTAACCCCTCCCCCACCCTTTTCTCCTAACTTACTTTGGCACTTAAACTAACCCTATTTTCTTTTTGGTGGTTGTGTCAATTTTGGCTATCACAATTTTGCAATGCAGCTTTATCAGACTATCTTAGTTGGCGTGATGACATCTTCTTTTCTACTGGACGTGATACATCACTTCTACTAATGCTTCCATGCTGGTTTCCCAAGCCTATACGAAGGTTGATACAGCTTTATGTCCAGGTCTGTTCTCATTTTTGAATGATTGGATTCCTTTGCTTCCTTTTCAATACAATTTAATCTTATTTAAATTCAGTAATACAATTTGAAAATACTGTGCTTTATATGTCATGTTAGGGCAGCTTTATCACTGATCTCTTGTTAACTCCCTTTGTCTGTTCATAAATACCTTACTCTGTCATGTAGGTTGTGTGCTATTGTAGATAGTTCATGTATATGTATGCGATCCGAGTTATGTAGTTTTCATTATATTACAGGGTCCTCTTGGATGCCAATCATTTTCAGGGTTCCCTACTGGGGAAACTTTGCTACATAGAGACATTGATTTATTTGTAAATGCTGATGATGTACATGCTGAAATAAGTGCAATATCCTGGGAAGCAACTATCCAAAGACATATTGAAGAAGAATTATATAGTCCTTTACTTGAGGTATGTGAATTTAATTTAATTGCTTGGTATTTTTCTTTTTTTCCCTGTCTCTGTTTAGGAGTCTGGCTCACCATTTTTGCACTCATTTTTTTTTAAATAAAATATTCTTTCTTGACAATTGCTAATAAATATTTTAACAACCTAATGTTTGTTTAGCTATATGGTATTTGCAATTTTATTGCTACTACAAATTCCAATTGCAACATAGTTCGAGGAATCCAATTGTCTCAGTTTAGCCAGCCACATGGGTGGTCTTATTATTTAACTTGATTGTTTTATGAAAATTACCATATGAAACCTTTGTTTGGAGTCACAGATTAAGGTGCGCAAGACTAATGTTTGTTGTGCTAGAAAGGAAACATTATTTCAGACAATTTCTCGATGTTATCTGATAGGAACTGAATGTATTATTGTAGTGACAGAACAAACTCAGGGAAATATGCTGGACGTACAAGCAAAATAGCTAGGTAATAACAGAAAAAGAGCTATTGATGAATGAAATAAAGCTCCTCCTATGGCAGCAGCCACCCCAAATAACCTCCCAGATATTTCCTACCTTCTCCCCTCTGTCTATCTTCCATATATACCTCCTCTGCTGCACTCACCCCTCTTCTCTCTCATTCTTGCTACGTACTCCATTTGTTAAATCTGTTAGAATCTTGCATAACGGCCTCCTTGCTCACCTTTCCTATTTTACCCCTCTTTCTCTGGTATGTCTTTAGTGGAGGCCCAATTTGGTTTGGACCCAACATTATCTCAAAATCTTAGCTAGCCTTGATCCAGTTTCATTTGCTGTGAATTTTGAAATGATATCAACTTTTTGTTTATCTCAAATTGATTATCTTTTTGTTCCCAACTTTCAAAATGTGTGGATAAAATAATGAGATAAGCTAATTGGGAGGGAAAGAAAGATTAGCAGATTAAGCTGTTCATTGTTTGTGACAAACAGTGAAGGGTTGGGGTAAAAAAAGTTGAAATGGGATATTGATTTTAAATTATACTGTGGAATGGATCTTCCCTGCTTTTAACAAGATAAATATGTCCTTAACAATTTTATCTTTTACAAACTAAGAGTTAATTGAGAAAACTTCATGTTAGAGTCTTACTGATATTGACCATCATTTTATATTTATTTCTTTCCATTTGTAAAATTGGTACTGGTTCAATTGTTAGACTAGCTACCAAACAGTTGAAGCTGTGACAAAATGACCTGCTCCCCTTGTTATTTTGATGTCTGCTCTGGTCCAGCTGTGACCCAATATGTTGCAATCTATTTTTTTTCCTTGCATCAGAATGATCATAACTACTATGAGCTCAGGTAGCACAGAGTAGCATTATTTAGTTTGGGTTTTGTTTGGTTTGCTGGTAGCTGTTATATTTTAGGAGAGTTTGATTACAACTTGAGACTTAATATTTGTATCCCCCTTTTATTAGAGTTGTTTGTTGTGTGAAGCTCTAGAAAGAGCATGTCCTATATTCTGTTAATAACTGACAATTGTCAATTAGAGAGGGTTCTGTTTAGTTGATCTTGTGTAATTTTTGGCATTTGCCAGACATATCTCTTATGTTTGGTATGTATTTCCTCAAGAGCCAATTATCTCATATTTCTTTCCAAGTGCTTTATGTTTTAGCTATAAACTAAACGAGTATCCTTTAGATTGAATTCTATGCAGTTTCTGGTTTGTGTTGTCACACTCAATAATTATGTGACAATTTGCATGACTGTAAAAGGTATTTTTGCCCCAATCAAGTTTCGTTTTAGGTAGCAATGCTATGCAATAAACAAAAAAATAAAGACAATTCCACCAGAATTTCTTATAATTCAAGGGTAGTTGTTGTACAAGTCAAAATTGTCAGGACCACTCATCTATCCAAGAATCAATAACCATGCAAACATGTTGTAGCAATTGCAAAACATATTCTTGCTATCTATAATTTTCCTTTTTAGGAGTGCCATTTCCCACTTGGGTATGGAGTATCCTTCTCTATCTGCTGCTATGAGTAGACATGCTATTTACTCCATGTTCTAGTTATTTTAAATGTCCAACAAACCCTCCTCATGGCCAGTTATAATTGAGTATTTGGATTTTTATTTTTTTATAACGTCATCAGTAATTTGAATTTACTTTTCAGGAAAATGGGTTTGGGCTTGAGCATCATTTGCATCGTGGACGAGCTTTGGCAGCTTTTAACCAAATTCTTGGCCATAGAGTTCAAAATCTGAAATCAGAAGGGGAATCTAGTACTTCAGCTCATGGGCAAACTAACATTCAATCAGATGTTCAAATACTTCTCTCACCACTAGGACAAAATGAAGAGACTCTACTTTCATCTGTGAGTTTATTTTTAATAAATTATCTGCCTACGTACTTGAAATGAGAGGTAAAATTAAGACAAATCAATACATTATGTTCAAATGTTGAAAAATGTTTGCTTTTTACCATATAAAATCTTTTATTGATGATAAATTCCAAAATTGACTGTGACATTATTCCCAAGCCCAGCTTCTAGATGTATCTGTCAATAACAAATTCAACCTGAGTTAAAATGTTACAGGGGGCCATATGAAATTGAATAGTTTATATTTCTTTAAGCATGGAGATACACAGGCCATTTCACTTTGTGGTATAATTTAATTGGATTATGATGAATGTGGGTGGCAAGGTTCTAACTTTTGATCACTTGGTCACAGGCTTTGAGACCTTGTTAAGAACATAATAAACCTAAAATTTCAAGCTGTTTGATGGACATTAATGATATTACGTAAACTCTATTTATTTGGTCTTCTATCAGTTCTATACTGCATCTTAGGGTTTCTTTTGATTTTCTTGCTGGATATTCTCCCATATGCTTTCCCAATATGGAATATCATTTGCTCCTTGCCAAAATTTTCCAAATTTTTATTCATGAAAAATAAGTGCCCCCAGCCCCCCACAAAAAAAAAAGATGATTCTCATTGATGTTTTGGATGGTAGATTGAAAATTGTTCTTGAATTTTCAGGTTTTGCCAATTGCTATTATGCATTTTGAGGATCCTATGCTTGTTGCTTCATGTGCTTTTCTTCTGGAGCTATGTGGGTTGTCTGCCAGCAAGATGCGCACTGATATTGCAGTGCTAAAACGGATATCATCTTTCTACAAATCATGCGAGAATAATGAAAATCTCAGGCAATTATCCCCCAAGGGATCTGTGTTTCATGCAATATCCCATGAAGGTGATGTAACAGAATCTCTTGCTCGAGCTCTTGCTGATGAATATTTGCCCAAGGATTCTCTAGTTATTGCTACTGAGACAGGAGCCCTAAGTAAACCACCTTCACGAGCTCTTATGCTTGTCTTACACCATTTAGAAAAGGCAAGCCTTCCACGGATAGTTGATGGAAAAACCTATGGGTCATGGCTATTGAGTGGAAATGGTGATGGAAATGAGTTGAGATCTCAACGAAAGGCTGCTAGCCAGCACTGGACTTTGGTAACAAATTTTTGTAGGTTGCACCAGCTTCCCTCAAGTACAAAGTACCTTGCCATATTAGCTAGAGACAATGACTGGGTATGTTTCTACTTTTGTTATTTCTTTCATTAGCTCCTCAAACTACAATCATATGATTTTTTCTGCTCCTGTCAGATTGAATTTTTGTCTGAGGCTCAAATTGGAGGATATTCATTTGATGCAGTAGTCAAACTGGTGAGTATTGTTTCCTATCGTAAACCATCATAAAGTTCAAACTGTGTATGTTATGTTAAAAGTAAAATCGTTCCACTTTGAATTTGTTGTTATTGTGAATGCTAGGCATCAAAGGAATTTAGTGATCCACGTCTCCGACTTCATATGTTAACAGTTTTGAGAGGAATGCAGTCAAAGAAAAAGGCAAGCTCTGCATCATTCTCGGATACACTGGAGAAAAGTGGTGAAACAACCTTTCCTGATGAAAACATGTGTGTTCCAGTTGAACTCTTCCAAATATTAGCAGTGTGTGAAAAGCAACAATGTCCAGGAGAGGCTCTCTTGATGAAAGCAAAAGAGTTGTCCTGGTCAATATTGGCGATGGTTGCTTCATGTTTCCTTGATGTCTCTCCATTATCATGCCTGACAGTTTGGTTGGAAATTACTGCAGCAAGGTGACTGGGACTGTAAATAAATAAAATGATAATTTCATATTATGTTCTTGTTATGCTTTTATTTATTTATTGATATATTCAACCATTTCTGTTGTGAAGAGCTTGCAGTTCTGCATCTTTTAATTTATGTCAAGTATTAGGGTAGTCTATGTTACATTAGTCAAAATCTGTGTTTCTATCTATATTTTAGGATACAGTGGTAACAGTCAAATGAAATTAAATCCTGCAGCTGTAGGAATCATTCTTTTTATGTGATTGGCTTCTTGCAACATCCACTGTTTAATTAAAGTTTCCTTGAATATCATGCTCAAAAAATTCTACATGAATCTAAAATTGTTTATATTGCATCAGCACTTGTTAAAACTAGTCAATGTACTTTTTTCATGCTTATTGGGGTCCAGTATTTTGAAATATTGGAAAGACAAGGGCAACATTTTCTAGCTTACTCCACCTAATAGGAATAAGGCTTGGTTGTTCTTTCAACATTTGGATTGAAAATTCACATATATGATGCGTTTTTAAAGATCTTAGTGTTTTAAGTCTTATACCAATGTCAACTGATCCACACACACAATCGTGCATAGACTTACTTCAATGATTGAAACTTTATACCTTTTATCCGTGGACAGAGAAACTTCATCCATCAAGGTGAATGATATTGCTTCCCAGATCGCAGACAATGTTGGAGCAGCTGTAAATGCAACTAATGCCCTGTCTGTTGGCGACAGAGTACTTACATTTCATTACAATAGGCAGAGTCCTAAACGTCGACGGTTAATAACTCCTGTTTCACTTAAATCCTCTGCTTCTACAATATCTGACACCTCTAATACTTCTATAAGCGAAAAAACTGATTCCCAAGGTAACACTATAGAGAATGAAAGAAAAGTAGAACATTCTGGATGCATTAATGCTGCAAGTGATTCCGATGAAGGGCCTGCTTCTCTTTCAAAGATGGTTGCAGTGCTTTGTGAACAACAATTGTTCTTGCCTTTGCTAAGGGCATTTGAGATGTTCCTTCCATCCTGCCCCTTGCTGCCATTCATCCGTGCTCTTCAGGTAAGCCATCTAATTTAAAATTCATCTGGTTCACTTATTGTATACTTGAGATTAGTGAAACTACTTTCAAGAGGTGCCTATGGTTGAATACAGGATTGATTCTTTTTCATGTGCTACTGTGCATATTTTGGCCAAGTGCTATAAACATGATCCTGGTTTTCAAGTGCCAGTATCTGGTTTTTTTTAATACATTTATCTTGACATTCTTTAACTCTATTTTTTAAAGGGTAAACTTTTTTTTTTCTTCAGGCATTTTCTCAAATGCGTCTCTCAGAAGCTTCTGCACATTTGGGCTCCTTTTCTGCACGAATTAAGGAAGAACCAATGTACTTACATGCAGGAAGAGATGTACAGATTGGAACATCATGGATTAGTTCTACTGCTTCAACAGCTGCTGATGCTGTGCTTTCAACTTGTCCCTCTCCATATGAAAAAAGATGCTTACTGCAACTTCTTGCTGCCACTGACTTTGGTGATGGTGGATATGCTGCTGCATACTATAGAAGGGTTTATTGGAAAATTAATTTAGCAGAGCCTTTACTTCGTAAAGATAATGAGTTGCATTTAGGTGATGAAATTTCAGATGATGCTTCACTCTTGTCTGCACTAGAGAACAATAGGCACTGGGAGCAAGCAAGGAACTGGGCCAAGCAGTTGGAGGCCAATGGTGCACCTTGGAAATCTGCTATGCATCATGTCACTGAATCTCAGGTAGTACTTTAAGGTTGTAAACCTGCTTGTGACATGAAATAGTTCTTACAGACTGTAACTTCAATTGAGGGGAAGTTTTGAGCCAATATTTAAAACCTTAACAATTGAATGATTTCTGGAGAACCCCATTATAGCTAATTCTACATTTCTTCAACTCATGTTGATATTGGTATAAATGCTTGATGTGAATGCTTTTCATAATCATATTGTCTCTTTATAATTTTGTTCTGTGAAAATTAATATTAGATTAATTAATTTTACGTGGACATGGGTAAAACTAATTTTAATGAAGACACTACATTGGCAATTGTAAATTTAGGGCTATGAATAATGTTTTTTTGGTCATGTTACATATATCGTCTTATTGTTTATCACCCTACATCTTGTACATGTGATTCTGTTCTGTTACTTGGACAGAATTGTGCGATTGATTTATTGTGCCAATTTAACACATTGTATTTATGTTGTTTTAATAAATTCTGGTGCGTTGATCATTTCATTTGATCAAATGGATGTAGTGTTGAAAATGATGAGTTTTTATTCACAAACTGCACTCTTTAAACATTGAAGATAGGACATCTCTAACAGTTTGTAAATTTAGTTGAATATTGACTTATCTTAATTTTCACTGTAAATCTGAGCTCTGATGAAGCTTATAATTTTTCTTACCATTTTTTGTGAATTTTGTCTGTGATGACTTTTAGCAATTTTAGTTGATAGTTTGCATATTTCTCATCAATTTTCCCCACATTTCTCTACCCCCTTTACAAATGCCAGGCTGAATCTATGGTAGCTGAATGGAAGGAGTTTCTTTGGGATGTGCCAGAAGAGAGGGTTGCTTTATGGAGCCATTGCCACACACTATTCATCAGATATTCCTTCCCTCCTCTTCAAGTGTGTTTGGTTTTTTAGTACTGTCAATGTTCAGCTAAAGATATCTCCTATATTGCTTTATGCTGAAAGGTTATCTCCATTTTAATGATTGCAGGCTGGGTTATTTTTTCTTAAACATGCTGAAGCTGTTGAGAAAGATCTTCCTGCAAGGGAGTTGCATGAACTTTTATTGCTTTCTCTGCAATGGCTGAGTGGGATGATAAGTCTTTCCAACCCGTATGGAACATATTCACGAATTATTTTCCTTTTCAACTTTAGTTAATAGCTGTTCTTATCATGTTTCTGAATTTTTCAGTGTCTGTCCATTGCAACTTCTGCGTGAAATTGAAACTAAAGTATGGCTCTTAGCCGTTGAGTCCGAGACTCAGGTGAAGAGTGAAGGAGACTTCAATTTCACTTTTTCTACCAGGGACAGTGCTATCAAGAATGACTCCAGTATTATTGACCGAACTGCAAGTGTAATAACAAAGATGGACAACCATATAAATGCAATGCGGAGTAAAACTGTAGAAAAACATGAGTCCAGGGAAAATAACCAAATCCCTCACAAGAATCAACTGATGGATGCTGCACTTTCAACTACTTTTGGGGGGAGTACAAAGACAAAAAGAAGGGCCAAAGGATACGCAGCATCAAGGCGCCCGCCTCTCGAATTAGCAGATAAAACTCCTGATACTGATGATAGCTCTAGTACTCCTAGTTTCAAAAATGAGTTGCAGTTGCAAGAAGAAAATGTAAAAGTGGACATGTCTTTTTCTAGGTGGGAGGAAAGGGTTGGAGCAGCAGAACTGGAAAGGGCTGTACTTTCTTTATTGGAATTTGGGCAAATTGCTGCCGCTAAGCAACTACAATATAAATTCTCCCCTGGACAAATACCATCTGAGTTTAGACTTGTTGATGCAGCCCTGAAGCTTGCTGCTATGTCAACTCCTCCTAGCGTGATATCAGTGTCAGTGCTTGATGAGGAAGTGTGTTTGGTTATGCAGTCGTATGACATACTGAATGACAAGGGCCATGTTGACCCACTGCAGGTAATTGTCCAACCCGACCAAACACCCCCCCTATATCCCTGTCCCTGTTATTACAAGTTTTGTTTCTCTATTAATGATAACATGTGTGTATATGTGCAATATTGCGGACATGAAATGCTAGGTTTTGGAGAGTTTGGTGGCCATTTTCACTGAAGGCAGTGGGCGTGGGCTATGTAAGAGAATAATAGCAGTTATAAAAGCTGCAAACACTTTGGGCCTCTCATTTTCTGAGGCTTTCAACAAGCAGCCAATTGAACTACTGCAGCTGCTTTCTCTTAAAGCGCAGGATTCCTTTGAGGAGGCAAACTTTCTGGTTCAGACACATCCAATGCCTGCCGCAAGTATTGCTCAAATTCTTGCAGAATCTTTTCTCAAGGTTTGGTCCATCATTTTTTATTTAGGTTCTAGTTAATATTTTTTCCATGGCATGATGTGTGGTAATTGGTAAATGTGTTGGACATCCTTTTGGTCATAGATGAATTTCTTGTGGCATGTTGCTTATTTATTGAATATAGAAATTAACCAGGACATGTGAATTGGTGTCATTTTGATTTACAGTTTTCTATCTGACATGTTAGTGTCAGTTATGCATGCGTAATGTTAAACAACTGTTTAGATACAAGTTTGTGAAATTTATAGAGGTTTATATAATTATATTGCTATATTTATTGTCCAGGGGGTGTTAGCTGCACATCGTGGAGGATATATGGATTCACAAAAGGAGGAAGGGCCTGCTCCACTGCTGTGGAGATTTTCAGACTTCTTGAAGTGGGCAGAGCTTTGTCCCTCTGAACCTGAAATTGGACATGCTTTAATGCGTTTGGTGATTACTGGACAAGAAATACCACATGCCTGTGAGGTATCATGTGGATGATTGTCAGCCTTGCAAGTTTTTTTCACTATTATGCTCTGAAAATGGGGAATTAAAATTGGAATCTGCTGGAAATACTCTAATTTATATTGGTCTTTTAAGATGATAGATGTAGTCAATTGTGATTCTGATTATGATTGTGATCCACCTGGTTGGTTTTTTTCTGAATTAAAGAAGAAATTTATTAAGTTGGGAGGAATATTACAAAGGGGAAGGAGAATAAGAAATTCTCCTTAAAAACAGGGAAAAGAAAAAAAAAAAAAGGAATAGAAGACATGAATGTAGTCAAAGCTACCCAATCCCTCAAAATCTCTGAGAGACAACCCTCTGAAAAGGCCATGTTCTTTACATAATGTGGAAGCCAAATGCCTAATCTGTGAAGAGATATCCTAAAAAATGGCAGGGTTATGCTTCACCCTAATGTACCAAAGCGTAGAAAATATTTCAAACAAAACTTTGGCTTCTTGTTGCTACCAAAACCAGTAAAAACTGATCCAATGCTTGGGACTCACCCCATATTCTTCAGAAAACTCAAATAATTTCATAAAACAGTAGCAGTGTACAATTTAAGCAAAGGTAAGGAATAGATTCTGTGCTTGCACGACACATTACATGGTAGGGGAAGTTGCCTTGTGTCTACATACTTGAAGCATGTCCACACACTTAGTGCCCTTACTATTCTTACAAGATCATATTTTGAATATTTGGTCCTCTTGATCCAATGGGAACTTAACGGCCAATGATACTGTATACATTACAATGCGTTTCTCCCTTTGCATTGCTGTTGTGCCCTCTTTAAGGGATAATAATTGAGAAACTGTAATTTCGATTAAAAAAATATAAGTAGAGAAAGTACCTTAATGTTTCTGGCATAGTCTTTCCTTTTTCTCAAAACTGACTCTGTTCTGCTTCTGCCCCATGAAATTGGCATTTTCAGGTTGAGCTTCTAATTCTGTCACACCACTTCTACAAATCATCTGCTTGCCTTGATGGAGTTGATGTTCTTGTGGCTCTTGCTGCAACTAGGGTTGAAGCTTATGTCTTGGAGGGTGATTTTCCATGCTTGGCTCGCCTGATTACTGGAGTTGGAAATTTTTATGCTCTGAACTTCATTCTTGGCATTCTTATAGAAAATGGTCAATTGGATCTTCTTCTTCAGAAGTATTCTGCTGCTGCAGACACAAACACAGGCACAGCTGAGGCTGTCAGAGGATTTCGAATGGCTGTTCTTACATCTTTAAAGCATTTCAACCCTAACGATCTTGATGCATTTGCCATGGTTTGTATTTTTTAATGTTGCTACAATGTCAGCTACTAACAATTTTCTGTGTAGCATATAATAAATGAATAAATAGATTAATGATTGTATGCTTCTGACATATGATTTTTTTAATATAAATATATTGAATAAGACGATACTTAATTGTTTCAGAATAATTTAGTCTTCTGCATGCCACTTTTTGGGCCATTCATAGTCAAATCATTATTTTTTTATGACTGGGGGAATATTGAAATACTTTACTGTTATCCTACTTTATAATGTATCAATCCATGTGATATTGCATATTCTGTGTTGAAATGTTCATAGTTTTTTTCAAGCATTGACTTAAAAAGTGAACGAGTTAACTTTTTTCCACATGCTCAGACTGCTTTTCTCCTTTTTTTTCTTCTGGGTTCTCTGTTCCTCAAAATTGATTATGTTTAATTGATTATAGTTGTGTTATATACAGGTCTACAATCATTTTGATATGAAACATGAGACGGCAGCTCTTTTAGAGTCACGTGCAGAACAATCATGTGACCAATGGTTTCGCCGCTACAACAAGGACCAGAATGAAGACTTACTGGATTCCATGCGCTACTACATTGAAGCTGCTGAAGTTCACTCTTCAATTGATGCTGGCAACAAAACCCGTAGTGATTGTGCTCAGGCTTCTCTTCTGTCCCTTCAAATACGAATGCCAGATTTCCAATGGCTTTATCGATCAGAAACCAATGCTAGACGAGCTTTAGTTGAGCAGTCTCGTTTTCAAGAAGCTCTAATTGTAGCTGAAGCTTATAACCTGAACCAGCCAAGTGAGTGGGCTTTGGTACTCTGGAACCAGATGCTTAAACCTGAAGTAATGGAGGAGTTTGTGGCTGAATTTGTGACAGTTCTACCTCTTCAGCCTTCAATGCTGATTGATTTAGCTAGATTCTATAGATCTGAAATGGCTGCCAGAGGGGACCAATCTCATTTTTCTGTCTGGCTCACAGGGGGAGGGTTGCCAGCTGAATGGGCTAAATATTTAGGAAGATCATTCAGGTGTTTAATGAAGCGGACAAGGGATTTGAGGTTGCGGATGCAGTTGGCAACAGTGGCAACTGGATTTGGGGATGTCATCGACGCATGTTCTGAAGAAATGGATAAGGTCCCCGACAATGCAGCACCACTAGTTCTGAGGAAGGGTCATGGTGGAGCTTACCTCCCTTTAATGTGAAACTTTCTACTGTAGATTATCTCAACGATTGGACAAACCACGTTGGACAGGAAGTTGGTCTTGACCTTGATCCATTGCTGGATTCAAAACAGTTAGGAATTATTGCAGCAAACAATCAGGATGCCGTGCAGAAAACCAAAGCGCCAACCAAATGAAAATTGGATGGTTAGTTGATAAAAATGAGATGTATATTTTTTGGTTGAGTAAAATGCTTGATGGTTTGTATATTAGGCCGACTGTATCTATAGCTCATTCTTGTAAAACACCATTCTAGTTTTGTTTTCTCCATTTTTTTGCAGGGAGGAGAGAGTAGTTTATTGTCGGTTTTGAGGCTCTAGTAGAATAGAATGTCCCATTGGTTTGTATTTTTTCGCTCCAAAATGTATAGTTCATGTACATCAATATAAAAATCCATTTGTCATGTTTGACCTAAATGCTCCAATTCTTTCAACAAAAAGTATTCGTTAGTATTGCTATCACTTGTACACATAATTGACAGCATCTTGAATGCGCTTCAGATCTTTCACAACAGGATATTACGTAATTGCAGTGTTTTAGGTGCATTTTGTGTTGCCTTTTAAATAAATTCATTGCACTGATAAATGAAACTTCAATTTTTAGTAGAAAACGTCAAGTATCTAAAATACTGTGTTTAAACTTTATCTTCCACAAATATATATACGTATCATTAAGTGAAGTCATTTAAATTTAGGTAATAATTTTTTATTTATTCATGTTCATGAGGTGTAGCCTTGGACAGCTTTAGCTTTTCAATAAAATGTTATTGGTTTGTTAATATTATTAAAAAATTATCATATTTTTTTATATTAATTTGATTGCGAGAAGTAATTTCTACCATGCAAGAAACTTTTTTTCTAACTCAAGTGCCTTCTCTTTTTATGTTTTTTTAGTGTAAATGGAGTTAAGTCAACGGTAGTGTAGACTTTTTTTTAAAGTAAAATCGATACATATTAGTTTAAAGTAAATTTGACAGCATTAATTCAAATTTTAATTCGAATACTGGACATTTTTTAAAGTAAAATCGATACATATCAGTTTACTTTCGTTATACATTGAGAATATTAATACATTTTATTTAAGCATTAATGATATCCTTTATATTGGAGAAATAATTTTTGAAAAGTGAATATTAATTAGATTTTATTTTAACAATAAATAAACTAATTAAGTTAAATTGGAATATTTTTTTCATCAATATTAAACTAACCATCCCAACAATTGTTGGCTTGAGATTAAATTAGGGGTGAAAAAAATGTTCTTTCCAATTTATTTTAATTATTTTTGTGCCTCTAAAAAATCTCAATGCCAGAAAAAATGACTAAAATAAAACTTTATATTAAAATAATTTAAAAATATAAAATTAAAGGGATTAAAAGATTCAAATTTCATCAAATTTAAAACACAATTATATCCAAACCAATTACAAGTTAGTTTTGATTGAAACAAAATTTATACACCAATTAGCTCTTTCAATTGTCAAGCCCAAGCTTAAATACAAAAAAGAATCTTTAATAAAAAAAACAATTAGCTTCACTTTAAAAAAATAATTTTTGATAATCTAATTGTCGAATTATATCTATATATTATTTTAATTGTGTTAAAATTTATTAAAATTAAACTATATGAATATTGTACAAGTATTAAAAAATTTTGAATTAACATAAAATTTTACCAACATAAATATATATGATTAAATCTTTTAACAGTTAAATTTAAAATTAAATTATTTAATAAAAAGTTATTAAAAAAATGAATAAGAGAATGTACAACTTACACCATTATAACCCGAAGTAGATCAAGGAAATTTAAAGAAGACTGAAAAGAAAGTAGACAATAGCAGGACTATAACTGATGGGTTATCTGGTATCAGAGCATGATGGGGAAGTAGGAATATAACTATTGATTATTTGTAACTGTATTTCTCTGGATCTGGACTTTAAATTCTCTTTATGAAATTTCTGTAATCATGGTATATAGGCTAGACAGTTGACAGGCCCTTCGGGTGAGACTTGTAATGGTCGTCCATGTTTATAACAATACCACGAACTAATGATTTTGAAATATTGCTTTTGTATAGATCTTTGTCTATGAAAATCTTTTACTGGAAGTACAGCAGTTCTTAGTTCTTTTGAATAGGGCTGTAGTAGTAAGTCCCGTGTGGTTAAAGGGCAGTAAGGTTAATTTTACGATGCTGTATTCAAAAGAAGCCAAGAACATAAGAAGCTGATGGCTATGGTAAAAGAATTTCAAAATTTGTTAAAAAAAAAAAAAGTCCACAAATAACCAGATCTAGTTAAAAAAGTTATAAATAATTAACAGATATATTGTTACGGAACCAAATGAGGGTGATGAACCAGAAGTCAATTTTATGATGTCTCGTTTGTTGCGATCTTTCTCCTGCATTTCTTTTCGTTCTGGTTCTAGTTCCTCCTCCTCCTCTCCAACCAAAACTAATCCCTTTAATGATCAGGAGAAACAGTCTCCTGAGATTACACCCAAACATAACATCTTTGACGAAAAAGTTCGCTTCGAAGAGATCAACCAAAGCATAAATGACTGGACCATTCCAGAAATCCATCAGGACACATTATATATTCCTGAAGAACATTCCAAGAAAAACAGTTTTGATTACATAATTAAGAATGTTGAAAATAATATTCCTTTAGGAAAAGATCTAGGAGAAGAATTTCATCTCCTGTCCAAATCTTCCATCAATGAGCACAAGCGTAAATACAAATACCTCCACATAGGATGTGTACAGGTAGCCATTAAACCTCTCATAGACATAGGAATAAATACTGCTATCCTCATGTGTCTTAGAGATGCTCGTCATAATGACTTCAACGACTCCGTTATAGGTACTGTTGAAACCAGTCTTGGCCAAGGACCAATTTATTTCAATTGTTTTCCCAACAAAACTGTGAGTCTTCTAGATGACCATATCCTTGACTCTCTATTCCTCAATATTTGCTTTCATGGGTTAAACATGAAAGAGAGATCTATTCCCGCAGCTCTAATCTATAGGATTCAGTACAAAGCCATGAACTCTTATGCCTCTAGAGTCCTTCTCAAACCTCAACGTGGTGAGACTACTTTGTTTATCACTAATATGACAAATGCTAACGTCTCTTTTCCTAGGATCATCAAATGGGATGAAGTTTCCCTTCTTGAAAAGTGGGTCTTGGACAAGGTTTCGCCTTGTGTCCCTAGGCCTGCTCCTCAAATCGAAAATATTTCTGAGGACAATTTTGAGAAAGTTGAAATAACTTTTGATAGGAGAAACTCCTTCTCTTCTAGAGTCGATGCTTATAGTGGTCGTTCTAGTTTTGCCTCTGCTAGGAGGTCTTTCTCTTACAGGTCTTAATCTTCTAGGTCTGAAATCCCTAAATCTATTAATCATGATTCTTCCATAAACCTTCAAGGGTTACATACTTCTTCTAGGATCCCTAGAAATGTTTACCAAACTTCTGAAAGACCTGCCTCCCACAACTCAGTACCAATTACCTAATCTGAAAGACAAAAGCGGTAACCCTATTACTGCTACTCCTTTTAAATCTAAGAACCCTGACGAGTCTATCACTCCTAATGATATCCAAGGCCTTATGGAACAGGTTAATTACACCAATAAGTACCTTCAGGTTCTAGGAGAAAAAATCACTGTTAATCTTGTCAAACCTAAAGTTGAAGAAATGGTTTCTTCATCCTCTTAACCTCAATTAGAGAAACCTCTGTTCAAACCTTTCAAGATTAGTACCAAAGCTAAGCAGAAAATTTTAGAACTCAGGCAAAAAGAAAAAACCAGAGTGAATGAGGACAATCAAAATGAGTTACTTAGTAAGATTACTAGTCTTCTCACTTCTGTTCCCGACACTCCTCAAAATACTGAAAAGTCTAGTGCCAAACTTAGAACTAGATCTCTTACCAAAACTGTCAATGTCATTTTGAAGACTGATTCAGAACAATATTCTAAAACAGATTCTGTCTTAACTATCAATCCTATCAACAATTGAAAAAATTCTTCCAAACTTTATTATAATAGAGCCACCGCTCCTGATCTTATTTTAGAAGAAAAACAAGACTTCATTCAAAGTTTTAATTCTAATGATATTTATATTTGGAATATTGATGGTTTGTCTGAATATAATATCATTGCCAAATTCTAAAATATGTCGGTTGTCGCCATGGGTTGTTTTACTAATCAAAATATGCCTGAAGACACCATTGTTTATATTCTAGTTACAGGATTTACTGGACAATTCAAAGGATGGTGGGACAATTATCTCGCTGAAACTGATAGAGAAAACATCATCTCTGCAGTAAAAATTGATGACAAGGGAAAAACCATTGTCAGTGATAATGAACGTCTTCCTGATGCAGTATATACTTTATTATATACTATATCTCAACATTTTCTTGGAGACCCTTCTCTTTGGAGAGAAAGATCAGGTGAACTCATTTCAAACCTCAGGTGTGATTCCTTAAAACATTTCAAATGGTATAAAGATACCTTTATGTCTAGGGGTTTTAACTAGAGAAGATTGCAACCAAGCCTATTGGAAAGAAAAATATCTGGACGGGCTTCCTAAAGCTTTCAGAGATCTTATTAGAAGCAAACTCCGAAATCAATCTCCAACTGGAGAAATCAATTATGACAGTTATGACTATGGTAAGCTTACTGTCATTATTATCTATAATGGTATCAAGGTTTGTCAAAAGGATAAATTACAAAAGCATCTTGCTAAAGAAAAGGCCTTAGGCAAGAAAGAATTAGGATCCTTCTGCAAGCAATTTGGTCTTCCATCTTACTCCACCAAGAAGAAGAAACAGACCCCCAAGAAAGAGGCTGTTGAAACTTATAAGAAACCTTACAGACGTAAGTACAATAGGAAACCTCCTTCCAAAAAGCAAGGGGAAAATATCATCCCCACCAACATTCCTAAGAAACCCAGGACAGGTATAACCTGTTAAAACTGTGGTAAACCCGGCCATATCAGTAAATACTGTACGTTGAAAAAGAAAATCAGCAGCCTTAACCTAGAACCTTCTATAGAAAACCAAATTAACAATCTTCTTATTGAATCCTCTGATGAAGATTCTGTCAAAGAATCAGATAAGGATGTCAACCAAATCCAAAATGATGATCAAATTTCTTCTTCTGATAGTGATGACACTCCAGAAATCAATGTTTTGACAAAATAACAAGATCTTCTTTTTGAAGCAATAAGCTCCATTTCTGATCTTCAAGAAAGAAAAGAATTTCTAAATAAATTCAAGGAAATTTTAGAAACTAAACCCAAGTCTAAAGAATATTTTACTACAAACAAATTTGATATTACGAGTCAAAAGATTAGAAAAGAATTCTAATATTAAACCAACCACTATTCGGGATCTTCAGATTGAGACCAACAATTTCAAGAAAGAGATCAGAGAGATCAGAGAGATCAAAGAACAACAACAAATTCATCAAGTTATTCTTTCCCAGTTATATGATAAATCTGACATT